CTATCACAGCTAGCAATTATTCAAATATATATGTACGTGTACACGTGCGCGTGTGTCGTGCACCGTCGCGTGCACGGGACACGATACACGCGCACCTGTACACCGAGTATATAACACGACTTTCTTTCCACGATGCATGCCTCCCTTCTATTACACCTTCACACGACAAAAACTCGGTGTACCGACACACGATGATACTTATCTTCCCGCGTTGTATCTCGTAAAACCGGTTTTCCGTTTTCTAGACTCGTCGCATGTATCCACGTACGTATGCGTATGTAAATATATATTCTCTCTTTTTTCGTTTCTTTATTCCCGCGCGGGCGCGTCGCCTGGCGACACGCTCTCGCTGCCGCCTTCGATTCGTCCGGCAAAACCATTGGGGAAGCCCCTCTTCTTCTCTCTCTCTCGTCGAGAGAAGTCGCACGGCAACGAAAGATGCCGAGACGGAGGATCGATCGTGTCGGAGCGATTCACGGCGAGGGTTCGCGCGTCGTGCGACCAGAAAGTGAGTCCCGTTGCAACAACGGGCCGTTCGAGGGGAGCTCAGAGAAGGCGAACAGAGAGAGAGAGAGAGAGAGAGAGAACGAAGGGAGTGAGGGAGGACGCAAAGGGGGTTGTTTTTTCGAAGGGTCTCTCGTGTGGCCCGTTTCGCCACGCGCGGCCCTGTTGCGTCGCGCCGGTATGCAAGAAAGCAAGAAACATCCAAACAATCCTCCCATACGTGTCTTTCGTCCCGGCGTCGACACGCTCGGGAACGTGTGTTCGGTCACGGCCCATTCTCGGTTACTTATTCCGTCAGATTTCCGGCCTGCAACGTTTCCAGCAGCCGAGAAGCTCGAAAAGAGAGGCATATACAGAGACGAGAGAAACGGCGAAAGAAACGAAGAATCAACAGAAAAATAGAACGGAAAGAAAATACGTGGAAAGAAAGAAAATCAGAGAAGAGAGCATCGTGTACAGGGTGGCCGAGCCGGCGTCTCCACCGTCGCCTCGACGCGACACGAGTTTCTCTCGTTTCACCGAGCGTGTGTGTGTGTCTCTCTCTCGATGAGACGTAGAGAGCGGTTCCGCGCGAGGCGACGGGTGACGCGAGCAGCGCACCTTCGCGACACCCTGTACACGTATAGACGGGTGGAGCGTGTCAATATCACGATACATCGAAAGTCCTCGAAATGGAATTGTTTGAACAGCGGGCGAGCAAGGCGGGACGCCCGCTGAACCGAACAGAAGTATCTCTGTCATCGTATACGGACACAGCTAGTAGAGACGCGATATTTCGATTCGTTCATTTCTTTGTTTTTCTTTTTTCTTTTTTTTTCGGTTGTCGGTTATAGGTGAATGTATCACTTACGAAAGGATTTTAGGAATCTTGCGTGTAGGAATAGTCGTAATTACTTGGCCCCACAATAGAGTACCGACTCCGAAGAACAGGCACCACATCCATTGTTCTAAAGTGAGAGCTTTCGTGCTGAACGCCATTTTACCATACTGTATGATAATTACCTAGAAAAGAGACATACGGGTCTGTTAAAGGAGACAGGCAGAATAGAATAGTTGTTCACAGTCACCGTGTGCGTATGATTAAGCAGAGGTTGGCCGGAGAAGAGGCTTGCGCGCTTCACCTTTTGTCTTTTTTTTTCCATCCGGCTGCGACTCGGTCTCTCTTCTTTCTATTCGGTCAACCTACTGCCCTGCGACCGAGCTACAAATTCGCCGACCGGTTCGTTCGGTTCGTTCGTTCGTGTCTTCCTACAGCTTCGTTCATGCTACTTAGGAATACACCATGGTCAATTCGTTGGAGAATAGACCCCGGTCGAAACGGAATTCGTCGGCGGGACCTGTTGCTGTTCCCGGCGGTCGCGCGTCAAACACGGACTCTCGACGACGCGGAAGTATTTCGCGTTCTCGCGGGCACAAGCTGTGCGAAACGATCTCTAAGAATCACTCACCGCCGAGGACGTGTTAACGATTCTAACCGAGACAAGAGATACGTTAAGCGCGAACGGATGTCGGATATATCCGTGCGTCGACTTGTCGCGGACTACGGAGCACGAGAACACGGTTCGCCGATCGTCGAAGAGAGAGAGAGAGAGAGATTCGTCGGGATATTTACCTGCGATAGACACGTGCCAATCCAGATAGAATAAAAGATGGGGTTGGTGAATATTCCTTGGAAGACATTACGCTGACCATGGATCTTTCTGGCGTTGAATTCGTTGAACAGAGTCATCATGACGAACGTGTTGAAGATGACGGTGAAGTGCTGCGTTGGACCACCACCAGCCTGCGCTACCCCTCGGCCAGTTTCGATGTCTAGCATCTTGTCACCTAACGGCGACAGAGATCGATCGGTTTTAGAGGGACGAAACGCTTCGAGGGGCGTCCGCTTCGCCTGGCTCGTCTCTAGGTTCTATACAGGTTATGTTTCAGCGATGACAGTTGAACGTTATATGGGAATAATTAACACATTGCGTACCGGTAACGAGAAATCTCGTTTTTATATACAGACACTTAGCTATGCAACTTTGCTAATTACCACGACATTGAAAAAATATAAAATTTCATTCGAATTGATAATCTATTTAAAATATATTACATAACAATATATCTGAGTTTTTCTATGTACAGTGGTATAAGTTGACCTCAGTGAAAATTGCCATCACAATTCAGTTTCCTGAAAATTAACCGGTACGCGATGCGTTAATAAATAATCAGAGAAAGAGACGAGTCAGGCGGGACGACGACTACAGAATGAAGGTACAGGAATCAGAAGAAGAACAATCACCAACGAAAAGAAGCATAAAAATAACGGACAGCTGATAGACGGCTTGACCAAGGATGTTCTTCATCATTGTCCTGGAGATGAGCGGTTTCGTGCGACCGTACGGTCTGCGGAGGAGGAGATCGGGCGTAGGCAGTTCGGTGGCCAGTGCGAGGGACGCTAACGTGTCCATGATTAAGTTCACCCACAACATCTGCACCGCTTTAAGGGGCGAGTCTTGCACGGCGCACGCCCCGATAAAAGCAACTATAACAGCGACGACGTTCACCGTCAGCTGAAACTGCAAGAACTTCGCTATACTATCGTAGACGTTTCTACCCCACATAACCGCCTTCACGATCGAGGAGAAATTATCGTCCGTTAAAATGATATCGGAAGCTTCCTTGGCGACGTCGGTGCCGGCGATGCCCATCGCGAAACCGACGTCCGCCTTCTTCAGCGCGGGTCCGTCGTTGGTACCGTCGCCGGTGACGGCGACCACCTCCCGGCTCACGGTCGCTTTACTGTCGATTATCCCTTTGACCAGTGTGTACTTGTCCGTGGGCGACGATCTGGCCAGCACCCTCAGCTTCGGCCACACTTTGTCCAACAGGTGTTGCTGCACCTCCCCGTTGCTGTCCCTGATCCTCCTGTTGAAGTCCTTCCCCTCGAGGATCAGGAAGTCCTCGTTCGGCTTCAGGATCCCGCACTTCAGGGCGATCGACCTCGCCGTGTTTATGTTGTCGCCCGTCACCATCCTGACGGTGATGCCGGCCTTCTGACACTTCCGGATCGCGTCCGGCACCTCGGGCCGCACCGGGTCCTCGATGCCGACGATGCACAGACACGTCAGGTTGTTCACCGTATTCTCCTCGTCGTCCCAATTCGGATCGTTGTCGATGTGAACTTGATTGATCTCTGCCTTGCCAGGAACGAAGTCGCGGTAAGCAATGGAGATGGTACGAAGCCCGTCGCACGCCATTGGCTCGATTACATTCTTTACCAGACGCTCCTGCATCTCTTTGGTAAATTTCTCCAAATGACCTTCGCGACCATATATAAAGGCACATCTGCAACCACCAGGAGAAACACGTTTCTAACCACCTTTCATCGGGCTCTAATAAATTCAACGGAACACATTCAACATTCTCTCAACTGTTATATAGAGTCGATCATAAGTTGAATCAAGCAACAAGGATTTCAATTGTTATATCCTTAACATAGGACATCGAACGAAAAGTGACTTTTTTTTTACTCAATTATTTCTATCGGATCTACAACACCTTGCTGCATGATTCACATTCGTGATTCGGTAATAAAGCTAGCGTACTTCTTCATGATGATCTCGGAAGCGCCCTTGGTGAAGAGCCTATATCCACCGTCTTTTCTCGGTATAACAGTGGACATGCTCTTCCTAACGCTATTGAACGTGTACACCCGCGTGAAGGTTTCCTCCGGTTGATCGTCCCGTACCGTTTGATAGTTCATGCCCAGGGCTACTACGAATCCAAGTAAGGCACATTCGGTTTTATTGCCGACCTGAAGCGGCAACTCTGTAGGGTCTTGCGCGGGCATTATTCTGGATGTGTACGCCGAATTCACGGAGATCGCTTGGACGATCAGGTTTCCGATGTGACTCGGAATATCCGAGAACTTCGGGATCGTTTTGCTCATCTTCTCGCATATGTACGACTGGACGACGGTCATCCGGTTGGTTGTCAGGGTGCCAGTCTTGTCTGAACAGATCGCCGTTGCGTTGCCCATCGTTTCGCAGGCGTCCAAGTGACGCACCAGGTTGTTGTCTTTCATCATTTTCTACAAACGACCAAACATCATTAGAAAACTACTCAACTCGCTCTTCTAGACAACGCTTCGGGGCTACCATATGGTTCTCAACGTTTCTTCGTACCGTTCAAACCAATCTGTACAGTTAACCACGCAAATTTAACCAGTATTACAAAATCAATGAAATTCATTATTCATTCGACGCTCGACTGACGGTCATTTACTGTACAGTTTGCTCTATCGTTTAAGAAACCAACACAGTCGTTCAGTTAGATCTTGGAAATGACAAGTTTAACCCTTCGCACTCCACAAGTTTCTCACTGGAAATATTCAATGTTTTCCAATGAGATACAGACGACATTTTCTTAGATCGAATTAAGAAATCTCACATGCATCGAGGAAGAGAACTATTTTCTTTCAATATTTCATTTGATGCATTGTACAAAGTTTAATATTAAATATCAGAGTTTACAGTTTCGCTGTGTCAAATTGGTGACTTAGAGGCGCCTCTCTGGAGTGCAAAGGGTTAACGGTACACAATTATACAATATCAGCATCACTGCATCAATGAAAATCTTTGCAAGTTTTCTCTGTTCGAGGTTCAACGTGTCCATCGATCCTCCCATCAGCTGCAGATGACAGTTACCTTAACGGAATAAGCGAGAGACAACGTGACTGCTAGAGGAAGACCTTCGGGAACGGCGACTACCAGTACTGTCACACCAATGATCAAATGCCGCACCAAATCACCGGCGTACGTATTCTTCCAAGGTTTCCCCTCTATAACGAACGTCGTCACGCAGAACTGAATGACGAGAATGACAACGGTAAGCACTGCTATGGTCGAGCCGGCATAACCGATTTGTATGGCGAGTTTAGTTAGCTTGGCTTGGAGAACGCTCTTCTCTTTCTTCGTTTCACCACCTCCGCCGCCGCCGCCGCTGGCAGGCTGGTGATTCTCTCCGGACTCCGGTTTCCCTCCTCCGCTGCTCACGTGGCTGTTCCCGGTGATCTCAGCGGCTTCGTCTCCTTCGTTTGGAACATACACGGGACATGCATCAGATCATCATCTTCCGGGGCAACGGTCTGCCTTCGAGTTCGATGCCTGCTCGCGTTCGCCGGATTCTCTCTTGAAACGAGCGAAACTTCCGTTTCTACGGCTCGCGGAAAATCATTCTGAACGGACAGTTTAACCCTTTGTCTGCCACGTAAACATCTAAACTACCGTGTAAAACAGTTTTCTTCGCTAACCAGAAACTGAGAAATTATTCTTCTGAATAATTGCTCCGATATCTTTCTTACGTTTCATGCATCCAACGAAATTCGGTTCGTTCGGTACATCGTCGAAAGAATCAATGTCCAAGTTTCTGTAAAAAATGTCACCCGAATTCAGATGACGTGGCAGTCAAAGTGTTAACCGTTTGAGTGCCGAGGAGCGAGCGCTTTTCTCGCGTTGTGCCAAAATTGCGGAGAGCCAATAATTTTCTTACTATGTTCTTCGAGAAGGGAATCGAAGTAAATTCATTTGAATAAACGTTATTTCTTCATATTTGTTGTAATAACAATATTTGTGATCTCATTAGATAACTACTCTTATCAATTCCTTTGCGTACACACTCAATCGCTTCCGCATTTCTGGTAAATATCCACAATTGTTTAGCATCCAAACGGTTAATCGGATGTTTTCTGTGTCGTCGACACGTTAAGCGTCATGTCGATCACCAACGACGTTCCCGAGTGACTTGGCAACCCCTTGTTGTACAATGACGATTAGGACTCGAAAAGAATTTCAAGGAATTCAACGAAACTCAATGTTGTTCGTTCTCCACCGATCGAAGCAATGTTATCATCAATGTATCGTCTTCGAATGAAATTTTTATTTGGAATGGAAAATGCTTCTCTTGCAAACTGTTGGTAGCAAAACGGTACACGAGCTCAGCGGTGAAAGTAAATAATATGGCAAGGGGTTGACAACGTGACCAAGCTGATTGGGAATAATTAACCTCTTAGGCACGGCTGAATTTTGCGCGGGGCTGTTTCTCTGTACGGACAATGCTGTTTTCCACGCGAGTACATTGGAACGAAGTCTTTGATGATTAAATTATAATTTTTCTGAAAAATATGATACACATAATTTAACTTTAACAATTTACTGTAATAATTAGTAATACAATTGGGTATGATCTATCATATATTGGTAGCGACGGAGCCACTACAGTGGCGCGTCGTGCCTAAGAGATTAATAATCGTTCCTGCTTTCGTTCGCCACAGAAGAATAATTCTTTAGGGGAAAGGGTCAAGGTTTTCGTGGCGCTTGACGTGTTGATCGTCGCGTCGATTATTGATACGGACCGGTTGCCCGAGGAGAGCAGGAATCGAACGTTCGTTCGACGCTTACGGCTATATTACACTTACACCTTCTAATTTCTACTGCGATACTGGCGACTAGGATTACGTGTAATCCGGTAGTCTCAGTATCCGAGAGAAAGGAACGATAGAAGAACAGTGAATGGTATAATAATAAGTGGCGAAAGAGAATAATAATAACGAGGAAGTGTGAGTGAAAAAGCGTAACCATTACCATCGTACGTAAATGAAACATAGACGTGGAGAAACGATGGAAGTAAAGAGACCATATTCTGCTGCAATGCGAAAGGACAGAAGCTCGTACAGAATCAAGGTGGCAGAGCTAAAGTAGAGTATTACAAATGCAGAAACCATCGCTTTCAAGAAACATTCAGAGATAATGGGTAGAAGAAGGTACAGAGAAGCACGGATGAAACGATTCTTTTCTTTTTTTTCTCTACCTTGTCACGGACACACGGTTTCCCTCGCGACACAGATCAATGGTAAAATCAAAATAATCGCTCCGAATCGACCGAATATATTCTCTCGACAGG